CCGCCCCGCGAGCGCCCTCGGGGCGCACCGCCGCCACACCCACCCCTCTGACCCCAAGTTAGATTTAGGGCAGGAAGTCTGACTCCCAGTTAGACTTGATTGAAAGGGGGCATTTAACTTGGGCATGTTTAAGCGAATAGAGGGAACCCGGGTAGATGTGGAACGCAGGCAGGAAGCCGCTGCTTTCTGTGAGGCTCCCCTGTGGTTTTTGGAGAGTGGCTGCGAAGCTGCGGTGGGGGGGTGGGGGAGGGGGTTGGTGGGGAGGAACTGCATTGTATGCTGGAACTTTACAAAGATACATAGAGATAACAAAAAGATCCTGTTAGATGAAAACCTTGCACAACGCACCTCGTTAGGGTTGACCAGTTGTTTGCTTGGCCTTAAATGGTAGGTGTAGCTTCCCCAAAATGCACTGTGGGCTGAACTTCCACTTTTGGAATGATTGCAGAATCGGTGCTTATTCAGAGATGAGGAACAATTTTACCCGTAATGGAAGAAACACATCCATCTTAATTGCCTTTCTCAGGTTTCCTTCCTTCTGACTATGTGGACCTTAATATGACTATTTGTAAGATTCTGCTTTTATAGAAGGAATACAATTTGAAATGCAATATTTGCCAGGGAAAAATAAAGAAGCATTAGCTAGATTGAGGGAAGTCTAGCTTATTTACTTATTGATATCTGGAATTGGATAGGTCAAATCTACAGTATGCATTGTATGTTGTAATCGGTGCACTTAGCATGTGTGAAATGTGCAAGAGTGTTGGTGCTTTTGTTAAATATACACTTTGGTGGTGCGAAACAAAGGGATTAGATGGCATTACAAGGTTAAAACTTACACATGAATCATGATAGCACACATATGTGTTAGCACCAGTATGGCAGCTTTGCCTCTCTTGAAAAGGTCAGATACTTTCCGAGTAGAAAACCACTTAGCCACCAATCCCAATTAAAGCATTAACTTGATCCTTATGGTCATTTGTGCTGTCACTTACTAGCTATGTGACTGAGCAAATTACTGGTTCAGACCTGCCAGCTCATCTCAGATATAGGAATGGGGATAATCTGCCTTGCCTTGGTGTTACGAAGAGTCAAAATATCATTTGTAACTCACCTAACATAGTGTCTAGTGTTATTAGGGGAATAGTAAATATCAGTGATCATTATCTCCTGGCTTGAGCTAAGTAACTTGAATAAGCGCTGAACTGATAGGACCTGCAGTGAGGACATATGAAAGTCTTGGAGAAGAGGTGGAAACTCCTTGCCCTTTTGTTATAAGGTCTTCCTGGACACCTCCTGATAGCTATTTCTACTGCATGTGGGAATCTGGACCAGGGCAAAAGACAAATTCATGAACAATAGAGGAAGGAAAGGAAACTTGGGCAGGCAAGGTAAAAACCAAAGCATATAATATGATGTTTCATATTTATAAATTTGAAGATATTACAAATAATGTTTACTTTTTTACGTACTCAAACTGGACTGGTCTATATGGTCACAAAAACATTTTATGTACACATTGTATCCTCATGACAGTTCCTCGGTAGGTCTTTTTTATTATCTTCAAATATGTGGACTATGATCCCCAGGTTTAGTAATATTAAACTGGTCAAGGTCATACAACAGGAAGCACCTGCACAGGGATTTAAATTCAGGATATTCTGATTTCCAAGATTGCTTTGCATAGACTCTCTGTACCATGAAAACTAGGTTTACTTAGTTTTAAGTCAAGTCGTGTTTATCGATTGGGTGTAGAGAAGGGGATCTTCCATTAAATTTACCTCCATGTAAATACTAGCCTTCCAACTTACAGAACTCAACCAAAATTTCAGTGTTAAAAACCTCATGACTTTTTCATAGCATTAGTATATATTAGAATTTGTTCTAAGAGACTTATGCTACAATGCTCCTAAAAGCACATTTTCAATATTAGTCGTACCTGGCTACATTTTATAGCCTAGAGACCCTAGCTTCACGTTGTAAAACACTTGCAATGAATCCAAATGTGCAAAATAATCAACAAATTAAGGTCACAATGGAACTTTGGCAGTCAAACAAACCAAAAATAAGCAGCACTGCCATAACTACTGCATACTTTGTACCCAGTACTTTGTACCCAGTACTTTGTACCCAGTATTTTACATCCTCACCTCAGTCTTGTGAGGCAGCTATTATTGCTCCATTTTCATAGGTGTAGATAACCAAGGTTCAGAGAGGAGAGACCACATTTTTGCCTAATACCATGCCTCTTAAGTGGCAGAATCAGATTCAAATATAGGTCTGATTCCAACTTACCTCTAAAATATGTCTCTTCTACATGTATTGCCTTTGGAGATGATACTTTTAATATCACCTCTTTAGTCAGGGAAAAGATAAAACTTGCAAGCTGACCATAGATTTGAGGCAAACAGCAAGGGAAGGGAGGGAGAACACAAGGTATTACAGGACAGGGAGAGGGACACCACAGGACCCCCAAATCTGCCTGCCCTAAACAGGTTCTGCCATCCACCACATCAAGACGGAACATATAAGACCTTTTGTGGAAAGGAAATTTAATACATATGTGCAATACAGGAAAGACTAAGAATATAGTTTCTAAATCAGGCACACAAAGTCACCCATCCCCTCATGGGTAAAAATCTACACATCTACCCAAACAGGATTGGCCCAAACCAAGGCCTAAAAGCCCACCACAAGCACCTTCTGGAGGGGACCCATAGAAAAGGATCAGATGGCCAGATAAGTTTGGGAGGAAAAGAGCAAAATCAAAATTGAGGTAAAAACTGTTACTGTCACCACCCCACCGGTCTCTCACCCACATCTGTTTCAACCAGTCCAGGAACAAGAAACAAAAGCCGCCTCCTCACAGTTCTCTGATCCGCTGCCCCCTCGGGTCTCCTGGCTCTCTCCATCCTGCTTCTTTCCTCTCCAGTTTCCTCTCCAGATTCTTCTCCTGCCTGCTCAACTCCATCCTCTTGTAGGTGGAGCAGGGAACCTGGAACCTTCCCTTTTCCTGGGGACCCCCCATGTTACAAAGGGACAATGGTGATGATTCATGGGTGTTACTATGGTGGTGGGAGAATTAGAGGAACTACACCTCAGGGAAAACAATGATATAAGAAACTGTAAATAAAAAGTAATAAGGTCACTCTTTGGAACTTATCAAGTAGGAATGGGTAAGACTAACTACCCTCTCCTGAGAACTGATAAAGAAAAATATTTTATGAAAAAATAGTAAAAAAAATAATAAGCAAATAAATACAATGAAGAACCAGATTGTTTCCACTGGAAAGTTTCTGTTTCATTGGTACAGAAAGCCCTTGTTATCACAAAGTGACTAACACTGGTAAAAACAGTAATCTACTTAAAACAGGGACCATTATTGGTAAATAATGTAAATCTACTTAAAACAGGGACCATTATTGGAAAAAGGCTGGTAGGGGGTTGAACAGGTTTGAAAATTATATATCACTAAAATACATGTACTTGGTCTATGGTAGACAAAATGTTTGCTGTAAACATATCTATGTGCTAATTATAGAATAAGTTAAAAACAAATCAAGATGGTTGTGGGCTTATTGTTTTTTGAAAAATGTGAAGCACCTTACAACATTCTTTATTTCATATTTTAGTTTTTTACATAATCAAAAAAAAAGGTTTTTTTTTGTAAAAACATTTGAGGCTTTCTGCAGTTTCCACAAAGAATATCAATACTTTGATATTGGGGGTGTTCTCTTCTAAAATAACAATATAGGATCATTTTTTCATTTTACCTTCACTTTTTAGTTTGCCTCTACAGATTCTTATTTGCCAGTTAGTTTACCTACCTCACTTTTATTGACATCAGGAAATCTTAAACCTTTTTGCAAGATTTGCAGTTTCACTTTGCAGTAGAATTTAATGTAGTTTGCATTGTGTTGAAAATGTCTACCAGTTTGAGGGAGAGATTGGAGCCTGGTGTTGAGATGTTTCAACAGGGAACTGATGTGTAAATGAGTGTGTTACTAATA